GGCTCCTGGTACATCCAGTCACTGTGCAGGCATCTCAGGAGATGCTGTCCAAGGTAAATGTGATCATAAGCCCTTTTTCTTTTGTAAAATGCTGCTAAGCTTCTCATTATACATTATGGTTGCTATAAAATTAACGACGGAATAAAGGAATTCAGTGCTTGCCTTGTCTGGGGCTCTGGAATGGCTGAACTAGCAAACACAGTTGCTCAAAGTACAAGTTAAACTTACAAGTAATAGGTTTATTCCATGCTGAAAAGAGAAGAAAGAAAACAATGTTTCGGCCGTGGAGCTGAAGGAAGAAGGCTCCACGGCCGAAACGTTGTTTTCTTTCTTCTCTTTTCAGCATGGAATAAACCGATTACTTATTCCTTTGCAGCCTACACATGCTGAAGCAGCTCCCCACCTGAACTACTTCAAGTTAAACTTAAAACAGCCAGTCCCAGGTACCATGCTCAGTCAAGTCACGAAGCGATTGGCCCATATTCCCCAAATGGTTGTGCTCGGTCTGTTATAGTGTTGGGGTTTAAGGTTAGTTGACCAAGACGCTCAGCTGAGCAGCAACTCCTACAAATTCATTGATGCCCGTGAGACATCCAGCACACCTCCAGTGGGTGCTAAGCTGTCAATTACAGTAGGCTGTCAGGAACTGTGGAACTGACAAGTGAACAGGATGAATGGCACAATAGGTAAGGAGCACAGGGCAGAGTGCCTGTTCATCCACATTCTCTCCGCACAGTACAGGAGTTGTTTGCAACTCCAAACCATGCGACTTGCAGTGAAAATTCCCCAAAATCAAAATGGGAAAAGAATATTTCTCTGATTTTGTATGCATAGAGAAACAAGAAAATGATGCCTTTTATCGTATATATACAGTAGCATGTTTAGTCTAAGGCGGCACTGTGGCACAATGGTTAGCATTGCTGCCTCTCACTGCTGGGCCCCTGGGTTCGATTTGTGGTGCTGTCTGTGTGGAGTTTGTATGTTCTCCCCATGTTCGCTTGGACTTCCTCCAGGTGCTCTGGTTGCCTCCCACTGAAGTGGTTTGATAATTGGCTTCTGGGAGAAATTGGCCCTGGTATCTGTGTGTGACCTGTGATAGACTGGCATCACTTCCAGAGTGTATTCTGTTTTGAGCCCACGGTTTGTCAGACTAGGCTCCTTTTAATTAGCTCAAATTAAGATAAAAATCCTGAAGTTGTGCGTTCAATTTGCCGGGGCAAGGTCTACAATATTTTTGTGTGGTGCCATTTAGAGAACCTCTTAGCTTGTCTAGATGGTCTTCTTCACAATAAAGCATCACATTTGAACTTGACAAACGTGTTTTAACATTTGAACTTTGCCAATGGAAAACCTCTTCCTCTGTTTCTTTCCTTTCTACACCAGAGGTGAAGATATTCTTTCCATCCTCACAAGTGTCAATGAAGAAGTAAGCACGAACACTGGCTCCATCAAAGGGAATGAAGCCAAGCAAATACCAGAGCCCAGGTACACTCTCAGGAAGAAGCTTGTATTCTACGTGAAATGTGAACAAGGTATTCTGACTGTACCTGGCAGTATTCCTGATGGAACTGTGTGGAATATACTGTAGGCCACTATAATACAGTATGCCTAATATTCCTCCTTTGATTTTGGATTGGTATCTGACCACTAGCTAATGGAATTGTCCTACTGTACATGCAATATTTTTCTACCATTTGTAATTTACATTATGCCACTACTGTATTGTCCAACAAAAAATCCAGACATTTTATTGTGATACTTCAGTGACTGGTGAACCAGAAATGCTTATTTACATCTTGCCTACACTGAATTTTATAAAGCAACATTTGGGTGCAAAAGAGAGATTCTAATTCTTTTCTTAAACTGGATGTGTTAAAGGGGCAGATTTTGAAGAACGATGTCCAGATTTTAAAACCAGCTGTGTGTGACGCATACAGGGGATAGTATTTTAAAACAAAAACAGATGGGGTGGATGGCTCTAACTTCATAAAACACTTGTATTATGTATTTGAATTTAGTCAAATCCAAATGCTGAGATGTTTTCATTTTTGCATTTTGCATCCAAATGTTTTGCATTGAAGTGTAACCATGAGACAAATTTATGAGGCAAAATTCTTCAAACAAAAACTTTAGAAACTTTGAGGAAATGTTAATGTCAAATAAAGAGTAGAGGTTTCCAGACATCTTGTGTATATTAATGTTCTGGTTTGTATCAATTGGAACAACCAGTTAATTAAATGGTAAAAATAAAATTGCCTACTGTGAGTGCTAAACATTTGTCTTGTGAATGGAATACTTCATTACAATAATTTAAGACACGAGTGGAAAAAGCTTATATATGCAAAATTTTTAGGACAATTATTAAAATACTCTGATACTGGAATACACATTGTATGTGGGGAAAACAATTTGTATATAAATGGCATAATGTATACATTTAAGCTGCTGTTTGCAGTAATCTTTGATGAACCACCTGATATTAACATATAAACAACATCATCAAGATGTTTCCTTTGTTGTGTAGCACCATGATGATGTTGTTTTTTGTTTCAATTGGCTTAGTACCTCAGGTTTTTTATATGAAATCTAATTGCTGTATACATTTTCATCCTCACACATTACCTCAAAGTAGCTGTATGTATTACTTGTCAAAATTATACAACTGTTCTTCCACTGAAATGTTAGTTACATCCAAAATAAACAATGCTAATTTTCTGTGGGCTGTTTCTTACCTTTGTGTGCTGTGCATCTCAAAACCTTCTCCTGTTACTAACCAATCCACAGTGTTATTAGGAAAATGAAGATCTTTTAGGGCAGTTACACTGCCATTTTATTAGACAAAACAAGGTTGATCAACAGGAATCTTCCGCAGAAGTCACAGGCTTTTAGTGGTGGTCACCATTAGAAGCAATACAAGCTGGAACGCTGACCTTAAACCAGCCTGCATGTGCAGTTCTTGTAGGATTCTGTCCCATAAGACTCAGAAATTGAGTCTCCAATCCTGCTCCTGGAGGGCTGCTATGTCTGTAGATTTTCTAGGTGTCTTAAGTTCACCAGAAAAGAAGGAAGAAGCTGTTAAACTGATCCTATTAATCCAATAATGAGCTCCTTCAGGTTAAGAGCCCACATGGACTGAAAACCTAAAGACACACTGACCCTCTATGACCAGGATCGGGTAACCCTCTTGTTGAGCTTGGACAAGCATGTGACTGTGCACTGCTCTGAGGTTTAGATGCCACACATAGTCCCAGCCTGTCCCACACATGTGCAATGGGGTTCAAGATAGGTGAGTATGACATCCATGGCAATACCATGTTCTCATCACAACAAGAAAGGCCTTTCTCACCACAAGGACGGGCAAAGTTACAGTATGTGCGATTGGTTTGCCAAAATATGCCAAAAGAAGAACTTGATCAATGTAATGCTTTATAGTAAGATTGCCATCAGTTACTATAAGTGGAGATCTGTAGCAAACAGACACTGCTGGTTGGGCTATCGCCCTTGGACTACCCCAACTATCTCTGTGTTTCCTGTGTTGTCCCAGAGCTTGGCTGGACATTGATAGACTGTTGGACTGTCATTTTGTGCTAGGTTACAAAAATGGCTGACTGTGAATATCCCAAATGATGAACAACAGTTCACCCACAACCCAGCCACTAAAATGCCAAGGACGTGAAGGTTATGGATGAAAGGGAGAGAACCTAATCTTTTCAGACAGCAAATTTATGAAGGTCTTCAGAATTTTAAAGGAATAAGTGTTCGATTCAATTATATACTGTATATACCAAGTTAATTTCAGGTAACAAAAGAGGGTCATACTGTAAATGGAAACTTGTTACAGATCAATTTAAAATGTATTTTTTATTCAATTCTTGAATTCTTACATTCTCAATCCTTCAGGTTCTTGCATGACGAAACCCATGTACGTCTTTACGCATTGTAAAGTGCTTGAATAAAGCTTACCCAATGTTTGTCGCGTAAATGTCTCTATTCAACTTCGTTTATCTGTGACTAGGTTTCACCTACTCTGTATTTACCACAGAGAAAACAGAAAAAGAAAGTTATGTGCTGTGATTATATTCGTTTTCAAATCAACAGATACGTGAAGTTGTCAAGTGGCTTTTCACAATTTAATCATAATCATCAGCATCGTCATCCTCACATGTGCAGTTAAATCATATTCCTTAATTTTCTCTGCTGTGGGTTTACACCTTGTTTTGTATGTTTTTTTCAAGGCACGTCAAGAGTTAAATATATCTGTCCTTTCACTTCCGCAGTGAAAGTGAGGCCGCTAGCTAGCTTTAGCACGAACAAGTGTTTTCTTCGTGGTTGTGCACAATATTTTTCCATATGCAGACTTCTCAAAGGTGAGAGGAAATTATGTATCTGTGTTACGTGTGACTACTATGTTATTTTGTTGTACAGCAATTGTAAACTGTAGACATTGTACAACTGCAGTATACACGCTATTTTCGTCTTTTTCTTGTACCTTTACACATTTGTTTTTACTATTATACAGCTTAGACGTTTTTGAGGTCCACTCTGGCAAACATTTGGCTCATACCCGCTCTCGAAAAAAGCTTGGGTTGAAAACTGTGAATAAGCTTTACATTAAAATGTATTCAAAAACGACTCCCCACTACACAAAAAAAACAGTGTGTGGTGCAGACGTTTGAATGAATTACTGCACACCACGTGTTTTTTTGGAACTACTGCGTTAGTTCAGTGTTATTATTGTCGTTATTTTTGCAATGCTTTATTATCTCTTTATTTTTGTAGAGATTATACAGTGCATGATGTGTTGGTGAACAGTCTGTGAGGTGAGAGCTTGTGATTTTGCTGTTGTTAGGGAATTTATGACTATTCAACTTTCGAAAATCGGAGTAACAGTTTCCTTCGAGGGGCGATTGTTTTATCTGCAATTCCGATCTTTCTAAGGACACGTTTATCGTTGTTTTATATTTAGCTTTTAGTAAGAAAGAAGAAAAGTAAGAAGACGAATGTAAAAAAACAGCTAGGTTAAAGCGTATTTCAGATTTGCAGTATACTGTATGTACAGTATATCCTCAAGTTGGTTTGTCTCTGAATTAACTGTCCTCGAATTGAAAGATTGCGATGTTATTCCATTAGCTAAGACTTGCGTTATTGTGGGATTTGTATATTAGTTTAACCTAAAATTATCTCCCACACCAAAATGTCTTCCTGTAATGTATGCATTTAAAGTTTATTAACAGAACAGGAAGCTATGAACTGGCTTAGTTAATAATTTGGAGTGAAGATGTATACACAGACGTTTAAAACTAAACTTTAAGCCTGTAAGAAAAACAAACAAACAAACAAACAAACAACAAAAAAACACACTTCAGAACCTATGCGTTCATTCGTACTTGTTCTGATGTACTAAAAGACAAATGTTTAGCTGGATCTTTTCATTGGCAGTGAATCTGCCATGGAATAAGCTAAATAAATCGCATTGACATACTCTTTCATGTTTTGATTTTTTATTTGCAGGCACAGAAACACCATGGAAATCATAAAAGAGAATAAATTGTTCCTTTTGGAAGTGCTGAGCTGTGATCCGTCCTATATTCTACAACATGTGCAGCAATCGAGGGTCATTACTGACCGAGAGTACAAAAACATTGCATACTCTCCTGACAATCATGAGAAGAAAATTACAGATCTCCTGGACAAAGTTATTTTCAAGGGGAATGAAAAGTGCCAGGAATTCCTGGAAATTCTCCAGAAGGAGGACGTTAAAGAAACATTCCCCAAACTTCATGAATGGCCCGGAGGAAAAGTAGATGTATTGGGTATTTCCATCACCTTATGCTGTAGTACAGTATTTTGAATTCAGTTAAGAAATTTATTAAATGCAACCAAAGCAACATAGTGACAACACAATCATACGTTTGTTAAAAGGCATAAAGATGGATAGATAAAATGCTGTAAAAAACATTTAAGTGGTACTTCATAAAGTCTGAAGACATTGCTAAAATAAATAACTGTCATAAACATTTTTCAGCTAATCCCATACAGGAGACACAAGATGTTACAAAGGTAATGTTTTTTTTTTTCATTATGAAGCTTTAAAGTTCTGTTTAAAAACAGCAAAGAAGAATATATAGCTTAAATTATATACGGTATAGCCTAAAAATATCCATTCATAATATACAACTTATTACTGTAAAAGCAATGTGTAAAGCAATATTTATTAAAACATTCCTGATGTTTTGTATATAAGGGTTTGGAAATATAGCTAATATGCAGAAAAAGTACCATACTTCTACTTCTGTTTAACAAAATAATGAGGCATTAGTTAGCTCTTATTTCTGGTAAGGTCATCTGTAATGAAAATGGAGACAGACAGTGCTCTGTCTTCCAGGTTATAACAAGTTAGGTTATGAGAATTGTCTAATACAGTAATTAATTATTACTGTATACAATTATTAATTTTATAGAAGCCATATTTGTCTCTACATCTGTATTATATCTGATATGTCAATCTGTAAAACTGCCTTATTATAATTATAATAACTATTAATAATTAATATAATACAATAATTAATATAATAATTGATATAATTAATTAATTAATTAATATAATTATATTATATAATTGTTATGAAAATTTCCTTGTTATATCAGTATATACAGTATATATCCAGTACTTACAGTAAATATGCAATTATTTAGAAATAAGTATTGTAAAATAGGGTACATCTTTGTAACTAAGTGTTTCATAAATGTGTTTCACACATGGAAAAAGGTACAAAACCTGTTGACACGGTGAAAATAAGGTTAGAATTTGGATGATCTTCTTTCCAGAAGGACTAAAGTACACAATGTAATTAATCTCTGTTCTGTTCACTGTTTTTTTTAAAAAACATTTGTAAAAGCTTACAGCTTTACAAACACTGGAAAGAATAGAGTGTTTTAAAATTCGAGACATGCTCTTGTTCATATGCTGTTTACACAGAAGCACCAACCTCTGCTCTTTCTCTACAATCCCCTTGGCAGGAGTGCTGATTGTTGTGAATGAGGATTTTAATATTCACATTGAAACCTCTCCCATTGGAGAAGTGCAGGTCCTTTCATGTTGTTCATTTTTGCGGTACTTTTATCAGTGTGTCTAGCTAGGGTGAAACAGCATGACAGGTCCTGAAAGGCCTGAACTGGAACTCTTGACACCAGCACTGGAAATACTGCCTGCAACAGGCCAGTGTCACTGCAACTACAGAAAGACTGTATGAACAATGCAGTGATATAAACAGATCTTGCCTGGCGACTGTCCATGTCTCCTGTTTAGTAGATTGAAGCTTTTATTTGATATTAAGAAAATAAAATGCTTATTATTTTGAAATTAACTATCTTCCACTTACTTCCTCCATTAGGTACAATTTACGGCATTACAAATGAGATTTGTTCGTTAATTTGGTCCGATTTGAAATCTGGTATTCTGATTTGGAACGTTTATTTTAGTTTTTATTTCAAATCTTGGCATTGAATTGGAGGACAGGGCAGCATTAACGAGCGTGTGAGCTTTGTGGGAGATGAAGCCAGTGGATCAATAATTCGTTTTCAATGTCACAAAACAACACCAACAAGAACAACTGCTGCGAACAAGGCGGCTTTAAGTGTTTCTATTCTTCCACGAAATTTACAGGAACTTGTATTATGTATTTGTCTCGCACAGGGCACTGAGTACAGGATGGCGAGTAAACCACGAGGATACTGCCTGATCTTCAATAATCTAAACTTTGAACGACTATCCACACGCACTGGTACAAATGCTGATGCCAGTGAGTATTTAAGGACACAGTAGCAACCTCTTTGCTAAACACAGGTGGTCCGTTTCTGGGCTTACAGTGGCTATCACTGTTTTATATTTTCATTGTGCTTCTTTCAATATGGAAAGATAATGTATTTAACCAAGAGTTTTTGCCATTGATTGACATTTAACACTGTATAAAGTGTTAAAGTGAAAACATAATTCTACAGATCCTTCTAAATCACTTATTCTGTGTCTTATATTTATGAATCAATTAGGAGGTTTTGTGGAATTTTGTTATCAAATTGACGTTATAGAGTGTTTTCTATGGCAAAAAAGATCCATTGTGATTCTAAGGAACAAGTAAAGCTTTATTCCATGCTGAAAAGAGAAGAAAAGAAACACAACATTTCCCAAAGAGGGCTCCACAGCCAAAAAACATTGTGTTTCTTTTCAGCATGGAATAAACTTTTACTTGTTCCTTTGCAGCCTACAGTACGCGTGCTGACGCAGCTACCTGCCTGAACTACATTGTGAATACATTGTGTGAATACTTTTGATAGCCACTGTAAGCGCATCTCAACACGGACATGGTATATCAAGCAAAGCAGTGCAACTTGCAACTTTCTTGTTGCCTAATGATGCATTGCCAAGAGTTGTGCAAGTCCTCATGTGCTGTCGGAATTAAAAAACAGTTCCGATGGGCAGGTGGCACAGTTTAGATTTCTCCCCATCATCTCCCTGCAGTACAAGTCAATGCTGTTAGCCTAGGCATAAAGACAAAGTTGGCAATCACAATTTGGATGGGTATAAATTAAGTAAAAAGCAAAAACATGAATCTTTCTACACTTTCTCGAAGGGAGCCTTCTTAATTAAACTCCACTTTAAAAAGGAGATAACACCACCGTTTTTTAGATTGAAGGGCATTTTGCTGATATAAAACATAGCGCTGTACAACATGTGGATTTAGTTTCTCAAAGGCTTGCAGAAGTTTAAGAAAGCTATCACTAAAAAGAATAAAGAACAGTAAAGACATAATATTGGTACAATCATAACTAACATACTGTATTGCAGTAATTTAATGTACTTTCTGCAAGTCCAAACAATACAGAAATTGAGATCTTTGCATCTGGTCTGGAAATATTACACAATTTGAGAAGATGATGATGAAAATGTGAATTCGCTTCTGAATCATCTTTATAAGTAGTTTATAGCCAAATCTTCATAAGGCAATCATAGTGTTCTGTTTTACAGATCATATGCAAATGTATTTCTGTTATTCCAAACCGAAAGTGTTTTTGGATTTGTTTTTGTGACATTTAAGGAACATATGACTCAGTCATTTGTAAAAGGCAATATATACTTCAGAAAACGATGCTTGTATCTTATATTGGCTTGTATTTTTAGAAAACTGAACTATACATTTAAAATGAATTGAAACGTGTTTTTCAATATTAATGTAACTATCACATATTGAAGAGTTCAATAATGCTTGACTGTCATATTAGGAGAAAACCTGCATTTAGAGATGGAATGTCAAATGCCATGTAAATGATTTTTTTTTTTAATGAGCAGTCCATATTGTTTTCTTTCTTCAAGAGGCTTTAGAAGAAGTGTTCTGCTGGTTGGGCTTTGAAGTGAAACGGCACGATGACCTGAAAGCTGCAGAGATGCGCGCTAAATTGGAAGAGTATGGAAAGGCATCTCACCAAGGAAAAGACTGCTTTGTGTGCTGCGTGCTCAGTCACGGAGAACAGCAGTGCGTCGTGGGTACAGACGGTGAAAAGGTCGAGATCAAAGACATCGTCTCCTGTTTCGATGGAAAGAAGTGTCCTTCTTTGGTGCAGAAGCCCAAAGTCTTCTTTATCCAGGCTTGCCAGGGCAAGGAGTTTCAAGAGTCAGTGGAAGCACAAGGTGATGGATGTTTTCCAGTTGTTCGTCTTGAATCCGATGACTCTGGTATATACAGAGTCCCGGTCGATGCTGATGTCCTCATAGGCATGGCCACAGTCCAGGAGTGCTTGTCTATGAGAGACGTAAGAAGTGGCACCTGGTACATCCAGTCACTGTGCAGACAGCTCAGAGAAGGCTGTCCAAGGTAAATATATGTACCACACATTCTATTTTACTATCCTTCTCATTATACACTGCAGATATTGTAGGAATTCATTATACTTCTCAACCAGAAAGAACGGGTATCTGCATTCAAAAACTAGTTTATATCTGTGACAAAGTCAATGTAACCTCATTTCCAATGTCTGTGCCAATGTATAGAAGATGACCTCTTCCATATTATTGTTACTTATAAGGTTTTTTCTAAGAAACATGTAGAGTAGGGTTGTCTGGTCTTAGTTCAGAAGAGCTGCTGTTGTCTCGAGATTTTCATTCCATCATTGCTCTAATGATTGGCTTAATGCAACTATGGTCCATTGGCAGCTTTTCAGTTTTCTTATAGTTTTAATATTTCACAAAACCCATAAGACCTGCCAGACTTATAGCCTAGCAGGACCAGGATTGGACACCCCTGATACAGTGTCCAGTATTTAGTCAGAAAGTCAGGTTCTGGCTGAAATTTCTGTTACATTAAAGAAGCGATAATTTCCAATTACATTAAATAAGTAAAAATGCGGTATTACTGTTAGGATATTGTTTTTGGAACGAAAGAACTGTCTACGTACACGGCAGATGGTGGCTCCTTCTTTCACGAAGGAACAGAATTTGACGACAATTTCTCTGGGAGACACTCTTGTTTGTTTTTTCTTGCTTTCCAGAGGTGACGATATCCATAGCATCCTCACAAAAGTCAACGAGGAAGTGAGCAAAGAGGAAGGCACCATAAAAAGAATCAAACTGGCCAAACAGATACCCGAGCCCAGATACACTCTGACGAAAAAGCTGGTCTTCCGTGTACCTTAAGAAGTCTTTGGAGAGAGAGATGGTACAGTTGATAGATTTGGAAACCTGGTAAATGTTTTAGAAATGTAATGGGATGTAATCTAATATTAATGTTTACTTTATACCTACTTGTACTGTACCTATTCCCATTTCCTTTATACCGGGGATGGCCAGCTCTCGTCTTCCAAGGCCTGCAGGGACATCTGATTTTCATTCTTGTCCTAATTACTTAATTAGTTGATTCGGATCATCTGTTTTTATTTGATCTTAATCGGCTGCTCCTTGAGCAGTACTTATAAAACCCTCAGAAACCCAGCCCTTGACAAGTCCCGTCCATGTTAAAGAATGCACTTTTTTAGCCTGATTGATTTAAACAGTACAGACTTTTTAAGCAATATTATTTTTAATTGTTCTGAAGCTCAGTTTATACCACCAGTTTTAATTTTGTTTATGTACTTGCTGTACTGCAGATACCTTAGATTTGCATTGTCTTAAAGGGATTTATCTTTTATACTTTTATACTTTCCCAATAAATATTTTTAGGACACGAGTGAAATGTGTTTCTTTTCTGTTTTTTTCCAAGGTCTTTGCCAATAGATAGGAACCATTTTTCTCTGAGTCAGATCTAATTCTATTTCCTTCTACCAGATACAAAGGTCAATGTTATTCTATACTTACAGTAGGCCTCAAATCTTATTTTATATCCTTAATCCATTGTTTATTGTCCACTTCAGTTGCTAAAATACAACATACTACAAATTCATCCATTTCATAAAACCTAAATGTTTTAATGGCAAAAATATATAGTATTACCTTAGGTCACCATCAATAATTCTGTGGAATTATTTGTTTTAACTTTTTGGAAAGTAAGCAACTACTGTTGCTTTTCCTTTTGGTCTCTAAATGGAAAAAGCTCTTCAAAATGTAAATTAAATAAATGTAAATATTAAGACAGTTTAGTAAACACCCAACTGTTTTATCAATTTTGAAGGAAAGCGCTTTCGGCGTTTTGGTATTACTGTACTACAGTATGTACGATCGAATACACGGATTTTATTTGATTCTCCAAACTAGTTTCCTGGCGATACGCTGGCTTCCCTTCTATCATCATATCTCCCTATTAATTTTGTTGAGTCCATATTCCAGAGAAGATTGGTTTATAAACTTTATAAATAAATGCAATAATATAAACGACTTTTTTTACATATCAAAGAATGTTTTGTTATGAGTTTTTTTTTATTTAGGTCCACAGACAACCTTGCCCTTAAGTGCATGTCCATAATTCATATTTTCCAATTTATGGCTACACGCAAATAGCTACAATTGTAGTCTAATCAGGGAAGACATGGTGCTCTCACATACAATTCAGCTCCTTTACTGCATTGGTCTCCTACCTCAGCAAGCTCTGCTTCTTGATACTGAGGAGATCTCCCTGCTACTGGAATGCTTGTCATCATAACAGTCTGCATGAGAGATCACATATGTAGTAATACTCCAGGGGCATATACAGAGTACAGAGGGATATTTTCTCCAAAATTTAAAAAATGGAAGGTGATCTAGCAGATTCTGGATCTCAGTGCTGAATGTTTCTTTTTTGTCAAAAAAATATCTAAAGGCACAAAGCCTTAGACATCTTAGACGCCACTAGGAGTTACAGCTCTTTATTTGCTCAACAGATGCCCTTATAACCGGCAATTTTCAATATACACAAAGCTTATATCATGGATAGGTACAAAATGCAGTGCAATTGCTGTACAAATTGAAACAGAACTAAAATGAAGCTTGTGCAGGTAATGTGGCCACACAGCAAAAATGTAAACACCCTGAAGGAATGTATTGTGTTTATAGCAAATAAGAGCAATCTGCTGTATTTGCAGTCAATTGGGAAACGCCGTTAGAGCTTTGACAATTAAAATCTTCAGTGGAATAGAAAGGGCAGCAGAGTGAGGCAGTGGTTAGCATTGATGCCTCACAGCACTGGGGCCCTGGATTCACTTCTTGGGGTGCTATATGTGTGGAGTTTGTATGTTCTCCCCGTTTTTGCGTGGGTTTCCTCCCACATTCCAAATCCAGATACTGGTTGGTTAATTAGCTTCTGGGAAAAGTGGCCCTGGAGTGAGTGTCTGCTGTCTATGCCCTGCGATGGACTGGCATCCTGTCCCTGCCTTGCCATCCTGTTGCTTGCTGGGATAGGTTCTGGCGGCCTCCCACACCGTGACCCCGTATTGGATAAAATGGTTAGAAAATGGATGAATGGTGGGTAATACAGTTTAAGAGTTGCTGGAAGCTCACAGGTCCTGACTAAATAAATTAGTCTGATTCAGGAGTGGGGATGTGCATAGCCAAATTTTGTAAATAAGAGCTATAGAGAAGTGCTGTTAAAACAGAGAATGTCTTTCTCAAAACAGTCCCTCAAACAGGGAGTCCCCTATAACAGTTGCCACAGCCACTGTGTTCTGTGGGTAAGAGGAAGTTAGCCAAAGAGTGCCAAACAGAAACTAGCACGTAATGTAATTTACATAAACAGAAGCAAAAGTGCTGAAGTCACCTCTTTCCAATTTGTCTGAAATTGTACGCGTCTGGTTGCACCTCAATGTTTTCTTTTTGTGACATCTGATACACGGACTAAATCAAAATGTTTTCTTCCCCTGAGGTGTTATATGATGCTGACAATTGGAAACCAAAACTAAGGCATACACAAAACTGACATTTTTATACTTCTGATAAGGCATTGTGGATTACAGATGTTTTTTTTTTTCAGATTGTCTTACATTTTGTAATTGAACCAAATACCTTTCAGAATGAATTAAAAATTCGGCACTATATGATTCTGGCACAGTGTTGATTTTCACTATTATACTTTTACTATTAAAAGGTTAACTGTTCTTAAAACAATGCACTGTAGTTTGGGTATTAAGAGACCAAGCTTGTTTTTAGTTCACTTTGAACACAAGCATCAAAACCTAACTTAAGACAAACTAAACATAAGCAGCCAATGCTGTATGCTTATGGATCCCTCAGAGCCACTAGCGCACCCACAGACTGGCACATGAAAAGAAAAGGTGTCCACAAGGGACACACACAAACAGTGTCATAGGCTTCTTACAGGCCCATCTCTAAACCTTAAAACAGGAAAAACTTCAACAGGAAACTTCAGCTTTCCTGGATTAGCTCTGCCGGGTATCCTGGTGCATCCCTTCCCACCCTAGCAACAACAACAACAACAACAAAAACTCAGTGCAGTCCTTTGATTGTCTCTAGCCTTCCCAACAATGTTTCCCATGATACCCCCCTTCCCTGCCGTGTCTGCAGAAAACATCATTAGTTCCTCTCTACACACTCATCAAACTAAGAGGCTACTTTTTCACTATAAAATACAGATCTGTCAGGGTTTGCTGTCAAGACAATGGCTGACATTTTTGGCAAACTGCCATAGAATTGTGTTTCTATCTACATTAAAAAAAATCCTTGTTTGAAAAGAGCCTAAGAATGCAAAAATGACTTTTCCACAACAGTATTTGTAGCTTGCTTGATTCTTTGGCATGGTGATGAGTACTGCATCTTCATATCTTTTGGGTTCTGGGTACAATTTTTGACCTGATGTGATGTTGGCTTGTTCTATCTGTGGACAATTAGTTTTTTTCTGGCTGCTCTCATTTTACGCCTTCAGTCAAAAAATCCGTATCTAGCTTAGTTCGTGTCTCTAAGGTGTCCCTCATGTGTGACATGCAATGGACTGGCATCCAGCCCAGGGTGTATCCTGCCTCTCTGAGTTAGTCTCTGGCACACCATGACCCTACGCTGGAGTAAGAGAGTATTGACAATGAAAGGATGTGCAATCAGATTTCACTGCTTCCTTACTGTGCTGCTACTTAAGAGACACATTTGGCTAAAAAACATCTGCAGTCTTGCGCTTAATGTACAAAATGTGAAACTACAAACAGTTTGGAAGCGGACGTCTTGTTTAAATTCAAGAAGGTGAAGGTAATGTTTCTGCCGACCTTATACGGTACTTCAAGAGTTTTAACAAAATGGAGGCCCACCCTGAAAAGTATCAAGAAGAAAAGGCATAGAGCTGTGAAGGGGTCTTCAGGTGTGTGTGGGAGAAAGAGGGGAGGAGCAGGAACGTGACATTAAGGAGTCGGTAAAGAGAACATGTGAGAATGGGCAGGGCATTACCCAGGCCTGTGGTGTTGTGAAGCAGAGATACTGACCACTCTGTCCCTGTAACAGGCAGTGGTGCATGAAAATTTAACTAAATCTCAGGCAGCCATGGTTAGTTCATAAAAACATGAAACAGACTTCACAAGATGAAACAGACTGCATGATGTCTTTTGCACGTCAGCCATGCGGGTGTTGTACTTTAGAGGTCGAGGAAATTGGGTGGAAGAGGTAGATAAAACTCAATGAACAGGCGGTTCGATCCCAAATGCCTTTACTCTCATCATATCCTCAGCTGAATGCAGTTCTGCTAGAAGAACGGGACGGGATTGGGCTCAACATATTGGAAAACCTTAACAAAAAACCCCTATTCGATGGGGTTCCTAATATTTCGGCCTGTGCGTGAATCTCTGATTTCCAAAATCACACGCAGGGATGATACTTGATAGGATTGTTCTATACCATTGTATGGATGTACCCTGAGGATGTTGAATGTTCAAATAGTGTAAATTTAGAGAGAACGGAAGTAATCAACAGGGCTATAAGGAACCAAATATGAAAGGCTCAGTAATTTGGTATACAGTATGTACAATATACGCTGTAGTCTTCGTATCAAAGCATTGACCTGCGTCAACTGGTAATCTTTAAATACAGGCATTATAGCATATTTAGGTACTGTGGGTAGTATATACTGTACATATACTGTATGTAACTATAACTATTGTTCTATGAATAAAATGCTATTAAAACCCACGTTTCTATGCATTGACTGCAAACCTGCTACACAATGTTTTACTGGCATTTTGAAACAAGTGTTGATGGTTGATGCAACGCCAAGAAAACAAGAACCACATTCTGCAGAGAACTTTTTCAGTAGTAGTTAGTTACACATTTGCCGTAAATTCGTATTGTTTTCCTTAATATGGGCATAACTGTCCCGGAAATGATGAAGCTGTTCATAGTGTGGCACTAGTACACCCTATCATGTGCTGTACCAATCTCTGAGCCACACTTTGCCGGTGAAGGAAGAATCGGTGGATACTTTGTGCTTTTACCAATTTAAATAAAGATAAACCGACATGCAATTTTTTAAAGTTGCACATTGCTTGAAAACCTGAAGGTACATTTATTTTTATTTAGTTTCATAAAAACGTTAGCGAGAATATACTTCTTTTTTTTTCTTTCTTACTTTACAGAGGTACAGTAATTTGGTACTGACACCGCGTGATTTATTCCAGCTAGGAGACAACATACGTTCATAAATGACAAGTAATTGTTTAAAAGGTAGTGATACGGCGAAATATAATGCCGATTAATACACTTTTAAGCGACGTGATACTGTGTTAAACTTTTTTTAAAATTGAAAGCGAAAGCGGATCTGGTGAGCTACTACAGTAACATTTCAGAGTAATGACAGTAACAATGTTGTTGGCCAGTTCGCGTCTGTTCTTTCTCCAAAAGGTGTGGTAAAAGTTTTGATTTTCAAACTTCAAGCACATCTTTAACTCTGCTGTCTTCGAAATTTCAGTTGTATTTGGATCGATAAGGGTAAATTACAATATTGGAGTTGACCATTTTCTATGATAAATTTGCACGACTACATAGCGTATATTCGTTTTTTTTTCCTTGTGGAGGAGACCAGAATTGTACCCCATCCGAGACAAATTGTTTATAGTGAAAGCCGAAGAGGCGTTATTTGAGACCTACTGTACAATAAAAACAGGAGAGGAAATGTTTATCTGTAAATAAAGTAACAAAAATACGTAGAAATGTGCAATTTGTAGTATTGTTATATCTTGTTTGCAGTTTCGGCACATTTCAACAGAACAGCAGTCTTCAAATTCACATTTGTAACACTTCTAACTTTCGTATCTCATTTGTTTCTAAAGTAAAGGAGGAACTAAAGGAACAGACACTCGACATCCATGACACACAGCGCAGAAAGTCAGGGGACTGTGACCAATACATTTTAGGATCTGAAGCCGCATCAGACATCAGTATTACCGGAAGAAACACACCGAGACGAGAAGACAGGCCCCAGCTGGAACAAATGCATGTGAATTGGTGAGTTACCCTTCACCACTGGGTGTATGTCACTACCCCAGACCCCAGATAGATGCATCTTTTAAATGTTCATAATTTATTTATTTTTTTCAATTTGTTGATGAACCTCCGTGTACGGTCAATAACTAACTTTAAGCTAAGGCACTTTAGGTTAGGAGAGCAGGAAACTTGCACTGTATAGTCAATGCAGTCACGTGTTCTGCGTTGTAACACAAACATAATGACGACTACATTGTAAAATCTGAATTAAGAACCCGGAAAGAACATGTGCAAATAATTTTTGGTGCAGTTCGGGAGATTAATGGCGGGGATTGAAGCATTAATACGTTACTTCAAAAATTTCTAGTTCTGTGTAATGGCAGTTCGCACAGTACCAGTGTAGGTTTAATTTTCCGCTTCATTGTGAACTGAGAAGTAGAGGTAGCGAGAACTGGTTTACTTATTTGCACTGCGTGTTTGTTGTGCGGAATGGTTTGTTCTGTTATTTTGACTGTAGTCCTTAAAGAAATCCAACACCAAAAATAACACATAAATACTATATTAAAAAGCGAGGAGATATGATGTCTTTTTATTAATAAAGCAGTCATAATCATGACTGTGTTTTTCCACAATGAACTTTATGTCAGTAAACCCTTCTTTGGTTTTCTGACCCATTTTCATGAGCAGGCTTCTATATACTGTATAATGTGTATGGTGTCTTGCAACGTAATAATCTCTACCAATGATATCACATTTTGTTGAATTAGAAATGATGTATATGATATTATTTCAGGTGGGTAGCTGCGTCAGCATGCGTAGGCTGCAAAGGAACAAGTAATAGGTTTATTCCATGCTGAAAAAAAGAAGAAAGAGAACACAAC